GCTTTGAATATTCGCAATACTTTTAAAAATAACAAAAGGTATTTCGATGAATTTTAGTGTCTATAATGAAAAGCTAAGTAGGATTTCGATATTTTTAAACCGTGAGGACTAAAATTGATCAAAAAATTGTGATTTTTTTAATTATTACTGTTCTATTTTTCTTAAATAATCCTCATACTTACAGCGTAAAATGTAGTTTTCTTATATTTATTCATGTTATTTTTTTTTACCTACATATTTTTTTATTAAATACATTTTAATTACATTAAATTGTTATATAACAATTTATATAAGTCAGTGGTGGCCTAGTGGTTAAAGGGCCCGCCTCTCGTTGCCGAGGGCGCGGGTTCAAACCTGGCAAGTACCAAAGTGATTTATCGGAGTCATATGTACTTTCTGAGAGTATTTAGACACCACTGACATACGGTGAAGGAAAACATCGTGAGGAAACCAGGACTTATAGTTTCACAATTATAAGTTTGAAATCACCAACCCCTCTTGAACAAGCGTGGTGATTAATGCTTAAACCTTCTCCATATGAGAAAGAGGCCTTTGCTCAGCAGTGGGCTCTAATAGGCTGATGATTTAAGATTTTAGAAAACAATTTAAGATTTAAAATTTAATCTCGAATATATTTCCTTTCTGAGAGTTAGAAAATGTATAGTTGTTGGTAAAGAAAAATAATTTATATTTGATAAAAAGACGCACAAAAATAAGACAACATTATTAACATAAAATAAGCAAAATACTTTGTAAAATCATCTATAGTAATTTAAAGTTACATATGACATGAAGTCTCTAAGTTGAATGACGGTAAATTAATTTGAGAAGACAAGCGTTTTTCTAAAACAAACAAAACAACCGCCAAATGAGTCTCAAATAAAGGTTTCTTTTAATTACTATTTACAAATAATTCCTACTGAGACACATTAATATTCGTAAGCAATGGGAAATATAATTTAAAGTAACATTTTTACGTTGCTAATGTAAGTTGAGTAATAAATAGAATTTACAGAAAATAATGAATAGTCCAACATCCCAGGGCCGCCATGGTACTTATTTTCTGATGTATAAAACATTTATAATAAGTTCCTATCATTGTCTACAGTAAAAGTACTCAATTTAAAACTTTAGTCCTAGTATCTCAGACTATAAGTAGTTTGAGTTTTACGTATTTTGTAGGAAATATTGTAAACAAATTCAATTGAATATTGCCCCCCACACCTTCTTTTGAGGTGTTTTGCCAGACACTTATAATAATTATAAGTAAAATGAAAACAATTTGTACTTACTGGTAGCATCTGGTACCTGATAATCGACCGTCGGTAAAAGCTAGCCGATATTTTTACGTTTACTATATACGCTAATACTAACCTATATGAAATGATTTGTTCCCCACAAAATAAACAAAGTATGGGGCCTGGGATGTTGCTCTATAACAGGGCAGGTCGGGTAATATCCTTCGAGGATTTGATCAAAAGATTCGATTCATTTTCCTTTCTTAGTTCGGAACTGTATTTCATTGCTCGTGAGATATATTAAGATGTGTAGAAATAAAATATCTTTCCTCCAGGGACTTATACATATTATTGCAATTTAGGAATTGATATTAATTGATATATTTAGAAGTATTGGAAATGAAAATATGAGTTAAAATTAATTCATGATCTCTATATTTGCTTGTTTATAGATTTTTTGATACAAATAGTAATTTTAGGAAATTTTGAACTGAAATTAATATGAAAATATTAATTAAAAGTCTTTAAGAAGTGGATTCACTTAATGCAATTATGCTATTGATCATCTGTCGATATTTAAATAATAAATGACTTTTCAATAAAATTAAGTGGCTTTGATAAACACGAAAATAATAATTAATTAATGGAATGAAAATGACAGTGTCATAATTGAGCAATACTTTCAGCATCTGCGCTAAAATAATTGCGCCCGGATAATTTATACTTTAACACTTCATTGACAACCAGTAATCAAATAATTTAATGGAGTTATCCATTTTATTATTTATTTTTATTAGTTACTTTATTATTTAATCATTATTTTGTAAAACGATAATATTATTAGTAAGAAATTTAAAAACGGTAGAAAATGATTTAAAAATATATACTTTAAAATGTAGATATAACTACATATTTCGACTTCACAATGATTAAGTGTGGCTTTGTTGATAGAGAAACAATAAATAATTCAAACAAATTGAAGTCAATGCAAGACAAATTACATATGATTCTATAGATCAAAGTTAGAAACCGCGAAACGTACTGAAACCCATATTTATGACTTGGATTCCTATCCTTCTTTCCGTTTTGTATAATTTCAGGGCTCTTACTCCCGAGGACCTAATTTGTTATATTAATTGAATATTATAGATAAATTACTAAGGCAAAAAATTGGGAGAATAAAGACGACACAATAGCTCATTGCAGTTGTAAATATGGCATGTTTACAATTTTTTTACTTAATTGAAAGACATCATCGAACTTCTTAATACTCTCTTATTTAGGTAACCAATTTGCACATCCATATAACTTCTCCCATTTTTAATAGTTTGTGTCTTGCAATCATAATGGGACATAATTTCTGTAGAAGAATGACGCCACAAATATTATGTAAACTAAGGAAAGAAAAAATAAACACGCATCATAACGCCATTTAATAATAAAGATTTATTCTATTGAATCGTTCTAATATACTCGACCATAATTAGGGGTAAAAGTTTGAGACCAAGATAAGTAAAACTACTAATAACTATAATACTGTAAACTATATAGTTACACTGTACCTCGTATTAGGGCCGGCTCGACTGATGAAATTGTGGACTATCGTTTTTCGCTGCGTGTCGTCCGATGAGTGAGAAGTTTGGTTGAATTTTTCAAATTATGATAACGGTTACCCATTACCACCAGATGAGCCATCTGCTCGTTTGCCCTTTATGGAATATTAAAAAAATGTTATACCTAGTATATATTTCCAACTATAACTTATGGAAAATTAAAACTTTATATCAAAAATAATAAATAGTTAAATCAAACCTAACTAGAATTCCTACTGTTCCATTTTGTAATAATACAAAAGATTAAAAGTTTTCAAGTAGTGCCATGTTAAGAAAGTTTTGTATATGAATTTGTATACCGTTTTAGTATGTTGCCCAACATAATAGAGTATAGAGTATACGTTGAGTCTCTATAAGTTTATTTTAACATACGACGTAACGTTATTCTTTTTGATTAAAAAAATTCTTACAGATTTTGTTAATTATTAATCGTGAATAATCACTATAATTTTGAAGAGACAATCAGTGTGAATATTCTCAATTTTTCTAGAAACTGAAGATAATATTGATGAGTAATACTTACTCATAATTATCGGTTCTGACATATTTTATTTGTCTTGGTGGATGATAAAGTTTTCATGCATTATTGTTATTCTAGTCTTGGTAACAGCTTTTTTTAAAATATGAAACGTCTTACCAAGCTTATAGCTGTAGTTACAGCCATAATCTTTTATGGGTATATTGTAATTAGTATTTAAATATATTCAATTCAATTTAAGATATTTCACTGAAGTATTTGTGTTTTATTCTATTTAAAAAAATCATAAATTGTTTTTTTTATGCTTATTCTGACTCTGTCTGTGTTATATTAAGTATCGCTTTAATATTTTTTTCAATGACTATTAATCTGTTGGCAATACACACACACAAAAAAATGTTTTGCTGTTAAGTAGGTACCGATTTCTGCTTTATTGAAATTCTGTTATTTGTTGTTTATTGATTACACATAAGAAATAATATTATCTATACTTAATAATTTAACTGTGTGGTGAATCATTGTATTAATCACTAATAAACATACTTTTGGCACATACTTGAATGTATTTCTACAATAAATGTACAACATTAAGTATCGCATTAAAAATATATGAAAATCTCTTAATACATCTAATTGACACTTAGTTCGTAAATTTCTCTTACCTTAAATTTCTGTCTCTGAAAGCATCTCAGATACAATTAAAACATTTTGCTTCTACATAGTAGCAATTTAGAGAGATCGCGGAACACTTCATTAAAAAATGTAAGATGCAAATTCTCGTATGAATTAGAAAAGATGTAATTAAAAATTTTAATTTGTATTTTAGTTAATATTTAAAAAAGTTGAATATTGATAATTGACGAGTAAATAATTCATGTTTTTGCGTTTTTTGTTTGCTGTAAATGGCTTTTGCAAAAAATAAAAGCAGAAGAGGAATAAAAAATATTCCACCTTCGGGTCGACTTTGCTACCATATCGAGGCCAACTACTTTTTAGACTGCGCTTCAACTGCAACGAATGGAACCAGATGTAAAGAATAATGGAAAACAGAGACGTACTTCGTAGTTTTTCGAATGTTTTCTACTACGAGGATCATCCAGAAACTTCGTGTTTTTAGATGTTATACAAAAGATATTTTGACTTTACATACACCATATGACCTGTTTTATATTGTAAACTAGGTCGGCTCTTCACTTTTCACAACGATGCATTAAAATAATTTGAAGTTTTAGAAAGTATTTTGAACACTTAGGAGAATATTTTCGTCTTTGAACATTTCTATTTTTATTTCTTAGCGAGAATCGTTTCACAAATTCTTATTTCAAATAACTAACAATTTTTCAGAAGCTGCATATAAGAAAGCTTTTTAGATACTTTGTAGGAAATGAAATCAGTTTTTTTTAAATGGAAAATACAAACTTTAAAGCATTTTCTATTTCAAATAAAATAAATATAAGGTAAACACATGCTTCATATCAAGTTATTTTAAAGCGAATTCCACACGGTAAATATTAAATATATGAGTATTATACAAACATATAATTTCAAATATCGGCACAAACTGCAGAATATCGCGGTAATTTTGACCGGGCCAAACAGGAAGTAGATTTTGATAAAAACCCTTTTGAGTATTCGAAAACCATTTTTAAGAAAGAACGCGGACAGCTTCTCTTGACCAACGATCAAATTTACGACCATTTCAAGAGCACATACGAAGTGCCTAAAAGTGTAAGGCTCTATACGGATCCAAACGAACAAAAACCGGAAATTCCTCATATCGATTTTCACGGCATACCACCAACGTTAGACGAAATAAGTAGTCACATAAAGAGGAAATCATCTAAATCTGCACCGGGCCCCGATGGTATCCCATATATAGTCTTTAAAAAATGTCCATCGGTTCGTAAACACCTCATAAATATATACGGCAAAATCTGGTCAAGGAAGCAAATCCCGGAGTGCTTCGGGAAAGCAATTTTTGTCCTCATTCCCAAAAAAGATCGAGTTACCGATCCGAAGGATACTAGACCGATAGCCTTAACAAATACAATATCTAAAATCTTTTTCTCGGTCCTACAAACGAGAATGACGCGATTCATGCTCAGCAACAAGTATTTTAGGCCAAATCACCAGAAAGGGTTTCTACCCGGGATTTCTGGATGCCTAGAACACAACACCTTGCTGTCGGAGAGTTTAAAAGATGCTAGAAAAAGCGAGCGGCAAATTACAGTTTGTTGGATAGACTTAGAGAACGCGTTCGGGTCGATACAACACGAGTTGATGCTATTCGCGCTTAGATGGTATAACTTTCCACCCTTAGTTAGCGATATGATTGCGTCGTATTACTCAAAATTAAAGTTTTCTATTATAACTAAAGAAGGCCCATCAAAAAGTTTGAGTTACAATGTAGGACTATTCCAAGGGTGCTGTTTATCTCCAATAGTATTTAATATTGTAATCAATATCCTAGTAGATAAACTTATCAGCAATGAGAAAAAATGGGGGTATCGGTTTAAGTTCAATAACAAATACACGGAATCCATTTTAGCGTTCGCTGACGATCTCGCAATACTGACACGTCACCCCAAACACTGTCAAGTACTATTAGATGAAGTGGATAAATTCTGTGAGTGGACGGACGGATTGAGGACAAAACCAAATAAATGTCACTGTCTGTGTCTTGGTAGGCGGAATACAAGATACACCTCATACGATCCGGGACTATCGATAGGCGGTCAATGCGTTTCTACGGTTACGGAAAATGCACCATTCAAGTTTCTCGGTCGTAAGATTGATAATATAGGTCGTACTCCATCTTTAGAAGGGATAGTAGATAGCTTTTTAAATGATCTCAACAGGGTAGATAGCCAGCAGATCAGTAACGTAAAAAAAGCATGGATCTACGATAATTACTTAACTTCACGTTTGAATTGGCCTTTCCTCGTCTATGATTTTAGTAAAACCCTTTTATCTAAATTAGATGCAGGCGTCATAAAGATGTTGAAGTTGTGGCTCGGGCTCGCGCTAACGGCTGATTCATCGGCTTTATTCAGGGATCGTAATAGTTTTGGGATGAATCTAAAAAGACCATCGGAGCTCTACAAACACCTAAGAGTTTCCAAGAGACATATCCTGGGAAAATCCCATGATGACGTCGTTACATCACTCCCAAAAGACAATGATGCCCCAGAGCTAGAGTCACGACTTCAATTCCATAAACAATTTATGATCGGAGCGCAAAATAACAGAGTAGGGTTAGGATCAAGTAGGAAAGTCCAAGATACGGATATATTGAAGTCTTTTATTCGGCAAGACGAGAACGATAAATACAAGATCCATGCAATGAGTTTAGAAATGCAGAACGAGTGGTTAGACATAGGAGATTTTTGCATTCCACTAGCACTAAAATGGCGCACTCTAATTCATGACTGGTCGCCAGCCTTGCTAAAATTTTATCTCAATGCGTTCCAGATGACTCTCCCAGATCAGAGTAATTTAGTAAGATGGGGTAAAGGTACCGAAAAAACTTGCTATATCTGCGGAAAGGCAGTTGGAACTGCTAAGCATTTGCTGGTGGGATGTAAGGTTCTCCTGGACAGCGGTCAATACTCGCGTCGTCACGATAGGGTTTTAGAGATCATACGTGAAGCGGTTAGTCTTTCGGTAGCCAGAGCGCAAAGGGAAATAACCACAAACGAGCGATCAATAGGTTTTGTGAGAGAGGGCACCAGGGCTATAAAATCAAACGTCAAGCCTTACTCTATCCTCAAAGCGGCTTCGGATTGGACTATCATGATGGATACGTATGAGAAACAATACAAAATCCCCGAGGATATTTGTGCGTCGGCCTCCAGACCAGACATATTTCTATATTCGCGTATTTTAAAGCGCGTTGTGATGATAGAGCTTACGGTGCCTTGGGAAACCAACATCCCCAAAGACCATGCCATCAAGGTCAATAAGTATTACGAGCTCACTAACGAACTAACTCGAAATAGGTTCGTCGTTGATTTGTACGCGGTAGAGGTGGGAGCGAGAGGTATAACAGCTAAATCTCTCTATAACCTACTAAAAGACTTGGGCCTGTCCAGAACTAACATTAATTCATTCTTGGAACGTACGTCGAAGGCAGCCCTAGTAGGTTCTTTTCAAATTTGGTTAGGTAGGGAGAGGAACTTGGACAGTGGAGGTGAGCGTATAACGCGCGTTAGTTAAGGGGCCCCTTAAACCTACACCTGGGTCGCAAGTCCCAGGCACTGTTGAAGCTCCTCTCCCTGCAACGCAATGGACCCGGCACCCGCACGGTGAATCCATTGAATGCTAAGAGGTTTCGTCTCATATAAAACGACTGCCCGGAGAGTCGGGCTGACTCTGGAAAGACAGATGACTGCCGGAAAGACGGATGACTGCCGGAAAGACGGATGACTGCTGGAAAGACAGCCGAGGGCAACGGCCTAGCAAGCCCAGCCCGGGATTTATTAAGCTAAAAGTCCGAATAAGAAAAATACCCCTGGGACAGTCCGAGAGGGGGGGCGGAAGATCTGTCCACCGGTCGATTTAAACGGCGAAAACGGCGCGAATACGGACTTGAAATGCCCTACGTGCGGGAAAAAATTACAAGAGACGAGCCTGGTACATTAAACACCTAAAAACACATAATGGCGTTGAAGCACGACAATCGTCTGTAAGTTCTTCAATTATCACTTCGGATAGAGTTGACCCTCACGTATCCCATGGTGAACCATTAACTGGAAACCACCAGGAGTCCATTAACATCCGGACACGTCTTAGCATTCCTAACATGAAACAATCGACTTGGAAAGTTCACGACGACAATTTAGCGGTCCTGTTAGAGCATCCGGGCTCGAAACAGGAATTGAACTCGCAGGTAGAAACTTTCCAAAATACCGTTTATGACTACTTCAACGAGCAATATCCACCACGTAATCATTACGCTCGCAAAAATAAAGAAAATTCGTTCAAGATAAAAATGAGGAAGAAAAAAACGGGAATTAATAAAAAATCTACGTATAGCCAAAGCTCTAGGCGACAACCACCTTAGTCATCAGCTAGCTAGGGCGTTAAGGTCAATCCTTAAATTAATTCAAGGAATATCGGCACAAACTGCAGAATATCGCGGTAATTTTGACCGGGCCAAACAGGAAGTAGATTTTGATAAAAACCCTTTTGAGTATTCGAAAACCATTTTTAAGAAAGAACGCGGACAGCTTCTCTTGACCAACGATCAAATTTACGACCATTTCAAGAGCACATACGAAGTGCCTAAAAGTGTAAGGCTCTATACGGATCCAAACGAACAAAAACCGGAAATTCCTCATATTGATTTTCACGGCATACCACCAACGTTAGACGAAATAAGTAGTCACATAAAGAGGAAATCATCTAAATCTGCACCGGGCCCCGATGGTATCCCATATATAGTCTTTAAAAAATGTCCATCGGTTCGTAAACACCTCATAAATATATACGGCAAAATCTGGTCAAGGAAGCAAATCCCGGAGTGCTTCGGGAAAGCAATTTTTGTCCTCATTCCCAAAAAAGATCGAGTTACCGATCCGAAGGATACTAGACCGATAGCCTTAACAAATACAATATCTAAAATCTTTTTCTCGGTCCTACAAACGAGAATGACGCGATTCATGCTCAGCAACAAGTATTTTAGGCCAAATCACCAGAAAGGGTTTCTACCCGGGATTTCTGGATGCCTAGAACACAACACCTTGCTGTCGGAGAGTTTAAAAGATGCTAGAAAAAGCGAGCGGCAAATTACAGTTTGTTGGATAGACTTAGAGAACGCGTTCGGGTCGATACAACACGAGTTGATGCTATTCGCGCTTAGATGGTATAACTTTCCACCCTTAGTTAGCGATATGATTGCGTCGTATTACTCAAAATTAAAGTTTTCTATTATAACTAAAGAAGGCCCATCAAAAAGTTTGAGTTACAATGTAGGACTATTCCAAGGGTGCTGTTTATCTCCAATAGTATTTAATATTGTAATCAATATCCTAGTAGATAAACTTATCAGCAATGAGAAAAAATGGGGGTATCGGTTTAAGTTCAATAACAAATACACGGAATCCATTTTAGCGTTCGCTGACGATCTCGCAATACTGACACGTCACCCCAAACACTGTCAAGTACTATTAGATGAAGTGGATAAATTCTGTGAGTGGACGGACGGATTGAGGACAAAACCAAATAAATGTCACTGTCTGTGTCTTGGTAGGCGGAATACAAGATACACCTCATACGATCCGGGACTATCGATAGGCGGTCAATGCGTTTCTACGGTTACGGAAAATGCACCATTCAAGTTTCTCGGTCGTAAGATTGATAATATAGGTCGTACTCCATCTTTAGAAGGGATAGTAGATAGCTTTTTAAATGATCTCAACAGGGTAGATAGCCAGCAGATCAGTAACGTAAAAAAAGCATGGATCTACGATAATTACTTAACTTCACGTTTGAATTGGCCTTTCCTCGTCTATGATTTTAGTAAAACCCTTTTATCTAAATTAGATGCAGGCGTCATAAAGATGTTGAAGTTGTGGCTCGGGCTCGCGCTAACGGCTGATTCATCGGCTTTATTCAGGGATCGTAATAGTTTTGGGATGAATCTAAAAAGACCATCGGAGCTCTACAAACACCTAAGAGTTTCCAAGAGACATATCCTGGGAAAATCCCATGATGACGTCGTTACATCACTCCCAAAAGACAATGATGCCCCAGAGCTAGAGTCACGACTTCAATTCCATAAACAATTTATGATCGGAGCGCAAAATAACAGAGTAGGGTTAGGATCAAGTAGGAAAGTCCAAGATACGGATATATTGAAGTCTTTTATTCGGCAAGACGAGAACGATAAATACAAGATCCATGCAATGAGTTTAGAAATGCAGAACGAGTGGTTAGACATAGGAGATTTTTGCATTCCACTAGCACTAAAATGGCGCACTCTAATTCATGACTGGTCGCCAGCCTTGCTAAAATTTTATCTCAATGCGTTCCAGATGACTCTCCCAGATCAGAGTAATTTAGTAAGATGGGGTAAAGGTACCGAAAAAACTTGCTATATCTGCGGAAAGGCAGTTGGAACTGCTAAGCATTTGCTGGTGGGATGTAAGGTTCTCCTGGACAGCGGTCAATACTCGCGTCGTCACGATAGGGTTTTAGAGATCATACGTGAAGCGGTTAGTCTTTCGGTAGCCAGAGCGCAAAGGGAAATAACCACAAACGAGCGATCAATAGGTTTTGTGAGAGAGGGCACCAGGGCTATAAAATCAAACGTCAAGCCTTACTCTATCCTCAAAGCGGCTTCGGATTGGACTATCATGATGGATACGTATGAGAAACAATACAAAATCCCCGAGGATATTTGTGCGTCGGCCTCCAGACCAGACATATTTCTATATTCGCGTATTTTAAAGCGCGTTGTGATGATAGAGCTTACGGTGCCTTGGGAAACCAACATCCCCAAAGACCATGCCATCAAGGTCAATAAGTATTACGAGCTCACTAACGAACTAACTCGAAATAGGTTCGTCGTTGATTTGTACGCGGTAGAGGTGGGAGCGAGAGGTATAACAGCTAAATCTCTCTATAACCTACTAAAAGACTTGGGCCTGTCCAGAACTAACATTAATTCATTCTTGGAACGTACGTCGAAGGCAGCCCTAGTAGGTTCTTTTCAAATTTGGTTAGGTAGGGAGAGGAACTTGGACAGTGGAGGTGAGCGTATAACGCGCGTTAGTTAAGGGGCCCCTTAAACCTACACCTGGGTCGCAAGTCCCAGGCACTGTTGAAGCTCCTCTCCCTGCAACGCAATGGACCCGGCACCCGCACGGTGAATCCATTGAATGCTAAGAGGTTTCGTCTCTATAAAGCAAATCCATGATTTGCCCGTCTGTGTGTATATACAAATATGGGAATATATGTGATGCTATGTGTATATCAATAAGTTTTGGGACTACTGAACCTTTTCAAAGAAATTGTTGTACCAAATATGTTACAATTAGGGATTGTGCTCCGTAGGCATAAAAGGCTTTTTTTCAAAACGCGGAATCAACCTTGAACATTTATTCCTTCATAAATGGAGGATACAATTGTAAGAAATTCAGGACACAACATTATGCAGGCTAATAATTGACATTGATCAGTTGAGATCCCAACTGTGACTTAATTTCTTAAATTCAATTAAAAACCAAACATCTACCATTCGAGACTCGCTTTTAATCCTTATTTGAAGTACTTGATTTTCTCAGTTCATTTTAAATTAAGTACTCGATTTTCTAAAGTTTTTTGTACGGTGTTTTTATATAAATATTCGTTGAAAATTATGTAAAGGTTTAAGATGTACGACCAGTTTTATATATGGAATATGTGAAAAAATACTTGTAATGGCGATTTTATGTAATAATACCAATAATATAAAAATATGTATACAAATTAGGATGTATCAGTAAAGAAAATATATGTATTAAGTAAATTTAATTAGGCAAAAGTAATTGAATTAAAAATAAAATATGGACACCCAGTTTGAACATATAAGTAAAGGATTTATGTTTTCTATTCAGGTTTTCATTTCGAATATGTTAGTTACTTATTATTATTTAATCATTATATTATACATAGTATTTTACTTTATACCGTTGTGATCGGTAGACAATAGTATAAACTACTTTATCCACATCTGTTTCCACTAGCATCTTGATGATTGGAAATTTCAATCCTGAAGATAATTCTGACATCATATGTCATTGCGGATACACATGCTTCCACTGGCACAATGACGAAAGTCATAATCAAGAGGGTAACTTAGGGTTTAAAGGTATGCCTCGACTGTATGATGTAGAATATGCATCTCCGTCAAAAAGGCCACTTTCTTGTTACTAGTCTTTAAGTGGCGGTTGTAATTGTATTATTTCTTTATTGTGTATACAGAAAGAAAAATTTCAATTTTACATTTTTATAAGCTGGACAATTTTTTTTGTATTATTAATGGGTCAGTATGAAGTCATAACTTGAAATAATATAGTGAATTCTTTTTTATTTGTTGCTAAGTATTCGTTTACAAAAATATTTTTTTAAATAATAACAAAGTACCTTGCATCCTTTTATAATAACTTTACACAGAGGAGGGGGGTTACAGTAATAGGTAACATATGGGCAGGTGTTCAAAAAATTTATATGTCAAGACTGAAAATTGAAATACTTATAAAAAGACTTTTTAGTAACGATAATTTTATTAAAATTATTTAGTTAGCTTTGTGCATAGAAATCATATATCTCTTCTTAGATGTATTTTAAGGGAATAAATTATAGAAATTGCAGCATATTAATCATGTATAGTCTATTAGGCGTGCCTTATATTTTTCAATATCTTATCAGATAGCGTATGGTTCACTTTTAGCGATTTTACAATAGAATTAGTGTCGTTTTTGACATGCCGTAGACAACGATGAACAATTTATATTACAGATATTAACTTTGAGAAGATTAAGAGGTTAAAGTTTTTATTTGATACTTTTAGTTAAGTATATTGTCACAATTCATAGTCACACATTATGTAGACAAATATCAGTAACGAATTTAAAAAGATCTACGTATATAATTATTCAACCAAAACACAAATTAATACATTTTCTACAATATGATAAGTATAAGTGCAGTAAAATTCAAAAGTTTTAATTAGTTCATAAATAAATCTCGTTATTTAAGCTTAAAAATGGTCCAGTGGTAAAAGACGTTTATTTGTTCACAACATAAAAGGTAAAGTAAACTATTTACCTTATTAGACGCTTAATTTTATATCTGCTTGGTATACCTGCCTTTGACAGAATGAAGAACAAAGAGCGTGATTGAATACCAGTGAGAAACCTGTCCCACCACACTAGAGATGTACTAGGGAGATACCAAAGATGAATAAATAAGGTAGAACGAAATACAATGGAAAATGATAGTGACAATCTCATTAATCAATAAAGCTCAAGTTTAAAAAAATATAATATGCAATACTTATTGAAATTTATTTAAATTTCAATTTATATTTATATTTATTTATATACTGATATTATAGTGAACATAAAAGAAAACATATTTCTTTATAATAGGTCCTTCAAGACGTATAATATTAAATTGACTGGAAACTGTTCATAGCAACTAAATAAGGAGATCGGAGAACATTCTAAGCATTTTTATTAGGGACGCTCAATCGAGTAACGTCGACAAATACATGTTCGAATAAGTAGGGTAACATTAAGTCTTGTATATATATATATTTTTGCAGATTTGTTCAATAAAAAAATATCAATGAACATTTATGTACCACATGTATGTATCAAATTTTAATAATTGTGAAAAAATGGTATATATTTGAAACATGTAGAGAGATATCTTTAGACAGATATATTTTCTTCAGTGTGATGTCAAAATAATGATAATGTTAATCTAAAGAAATTAATATACTCAATACAAAAAACAATGTATATAATTAAGCTAATTATATTTAAAATAATTTTGTTTCAATTATAAGGTAACAAGATATCAACTTACTAAGGTAGGAACACAATAATACCATAACTGGCCGTTTGAGAATACAAGTCTGATATAAAAAGCAATATTTTATGTCTATACAAGTAATAGTCAGAAGACGTAGAAAGTGGTTTATATAAAAACGTACGGGTGAATAATATTTTACCAACTGATACATTAACATAAAAAGTTATCGATGGTGTATTTTGTTAATATTTTTTATTTTATTTTTGAGGACAGAACTTAAATATCTAAACTACGAGACGAGCTTAAGCGCTACATAATTTTCTTCACGTGAAGAATAGGCCTGCCACAAGTCAATTCCGTAAAATAATAAAGTTTGTGACGTCTTGCAACAAATCATTAACAAAACCTGTATTCCCCTAAAAGAGGTCGTTCAAATAGTTATATAATTTATTGCAAAACCTTAACTTGTAGTATAGTGCCATTACATAGTTTTGGATATCTTAAATCATAATTATATCAAATATCTGAATCACATGAGCCTATGATATAAGATATTGACGCTAAAGTACTCATCATCAGCCTATCAGAGCCCACTGTTGAGCAAAGGCCTCTTTCTCACATGGAGAAGGTTTGAGCATTAATCACCACGCTTGTTCAAGAAGGGTTGGTGATTTCAAACTTATAATTGTGAAACTATAAGTCTAGGTTTTCTCACGATTTTTTCTTTCACCGTATGTCAGTGGTGTCTAGATACTCTCTACATATGACTCTGAAAGATCACATTGGTACTTGCCAGGTTTGAACCCGCGCCCTCGGCAACGAGAGGCGAGCCCTTTAACCACTAGGCCACCACTGACTATTACTAGTACTCAATCCATTTGTTTCCAGCGACAAGTTGTTTACCACACTCAAAATATTTTCAAAAAGCCAGTTTGGTAGTGATAAATAACGAATGATCTATATTCTATAAAAATGTTAATATAAAGACAGTTTAGTTGATCTCCATTATGAATGTGAATCTTACTAATGCTCCTTTAAGTTGTATTTCATCGCACGAAATTCTCTCACACAGATATTGTTATCGCAGGTGTTTTTGCCTATTGAACTTTTCTATTTCACGACTAATAATTAAAATTTAATATGTAGGGTTTATATAATATTACAAATTTTTACTACGGGTCTTAGTTTATTTCACTAAAAATATTTTTTTTCTAATTTGTACTTATGTTTGCCGTAAAAAATTGTAGAACTTTTTCAAGTTTAACAATAATAATAATTTGATGATAGGCTTTTTGATTTGAAAATAGAACTGTACATGTTATATTTATTGGCTGGTCCACATTCACAACATCTGTAAAATATTTTATTTATTTATAAAAAAAATGCCAACAGTATGCGAACGTCTGTTGCTAACTTTTTATATGTATATATGTATATGTTGCTAGAAAATTAAATTCTCTTGTTCACGATAAAAATAACGGCATATTAGAATTTTTTTTCACAATATTTGTCAAGCTTTTTATTGCAGACATATACTAACTCTTATATTGGACCATCAGAATATATGTATATATATAAAATCGATTTAAATTAAACAACTTTGACACTTTATCTCCATAGGAGATGAATCATAAGGAGGTCAAATGCACAAAACATTCCTAAGTGATCATGTACACAAAATAGAAAACACGAGAAATTCCTGCTTCTGCAATATCAAGTCTCCATTTCATAATAATGGGTTAGAAATTAAATCTGTCAGTCTTAACTTTTCTAAATATTTGAAATTGTTAAAAAATATTTTTGGGAGAAAATGTTTAAAAATAGTGTGTTTGTACTCGAAATTACTTCGTAACTGTTGAACATTAAGTATATCCTACGCTGCTATCTTTTTGAACGATCAGATTAAAATGCAAAAGAAGAGATTATGAAAGTTACCCCATAGCCATCTGATATTACGAGTACATTTCATAATAACTAAAGTAAAAGATTGAAAAGGTAAAATTTACTTAGAGCCAGTTTCATAGTACATACTTATTTGTTAATTGAATATTGTACTACTATTCTATATAGTATTTTGCTGGTTTAATTTATTATAAAAAATCGTTACATATCAGATGTGATAATAAAACAATTGGTATGATAAATAACAGTTATAAAATATAAAGCCACTAGTTGTGTTGGTTCATGAAGCGGTGTGTAATTGGAGACTAACGAGTATTACAACACGAGATTTTAGAAGTCATGAGAGAATGTCATATCAGAGGACAATGTGTTCTGAAGACATTCAGTGGCATTGTTTGTCTGCTCTAATACTAGAATCCATGAGTGGCAGTCAACTGACACCTGCTATCCACGGCGAAGAGGAAAGCCGAAGGTTTGTTTCACATACTATGTCGGTCTGTAATAATATTGTAACAGCAAATTGTTCCTAAATATCAAATATGATATTTCTTTTAATCCTTAAATAATGATTAAAAATGGAAGATAGTCAACTCTGTCATCATCGCCATGATTCGATCTTTGAACAGTCAATCTTAGACATTATTTTCGCTTTATCATTGAGAAAGGTACGAGTATAATACACCAGAAATTTGAAGATTTTTTTTTGTTTTTTATGACTAACCTTTAATACGAGGAAGATA